TGTGTGTGTGTGTGTGTGTGTGTGTGTGTGTGGATTAAAATCCTCTATATTTCAATAAAGTAATTTCTCTTTACGAGTAAGGGCTGAAAGAATAAAATATAATACAATGGATACGAGATATGATCATCACGTTATATGTGCAGACGAATTCGATATTCTCTTTTTAATTCTTCGTCTCTTCCTCATCATGCTTTTTATTTGTTCGTTTCTCTTCCCTTTCGCTGTCGCCCTCCTTTCTTCTCTACATCTTCTTGGCCTTCGGACCTCCTCACGAAATCTGCGTAGTTTCGTTACTATCCAATTTAAATACGACCATCGTACGACCATTTCACGCATCAACATAATTGAACCAGAACTGAGGAAAAATCAATTGGCGGGGTGCAATTTAAATGACTATACAGTATATTAATTCACATTGAATTATTTAAACACTTAAGATCCAAGACATTTATTCCTTATTTGTTGTGAATCGGAGATTCACGCTTCCACGTTCTGATCTCTTCATCAAAGGGTACATTTGCTTCTTCTTACGTTTTCATTCAAAAATCGAGCATGCCTGCACCGGCGACGGCGACGGCGACGCGTTGCAGCGAGCGTTTTCTCGAGAGCGGGATCTCGCGTGTGTATGACTGACAGTGTGGGGCGATTGAGAGCGACCTAGAAAGGTTTCAAAAGACATTTTCCCGTTCACCCACGTACAAAGCCTCCCTCTCGCCGCGGGAGCGTACAGCCGTGCGACATGAAACCTCGCGTATGACGATTGAGACGAGGCGCACGTACACACGTACGTACAATAGCGACCAAGAGGACGAAGGCGGTGCGAAACGATGAGGAGAGGCAGAAGGAGAACGGCATGAAGGAGGATAGGACAAGAGGTCGAGGGAGACAAGGGGGAGGACAGAAAGGAAAGAGAGCGCGAGTGTATATATATATATATGTTCGATTTCTCTTCTCGATTTTCTCACGATGCTGCTATCTCTTTTCTCCTAATTTTAGAAACAGACTGCTTTTTCTGCTTACAATAGAAATGTATATGCTTGCAACATTTTTTTCTCGTATTTATTGTAGAATACGTATTATAGAATAAATAGGATTTTTCAGGCGCTAGTGTGTGATGCATACGCGGGACAACGGAAAGTACGGAACGTAATATGGAGAAAACGCTGGTAAAAGGAAAGAGGCCCCTCTGCTTGCCTTTCCAATCGAATCGACCGCCCCTCTCGCCTTTGTCATTTTCTCTTTGTCCCCGTTTCGGATCTTCGTGTTCTCTCCCAGCTAAGTCGTCCCAGCTACCGCCTCTCTCTTTTTCGCACGGTCTCTCTTCCTCTACTTCTCACCCTCTCTCTTCTCTCTCTCTCTCTCTCTCTCTCTCCCTCTCTCCCTCTACCCGGCTTCCTGTTCGTCCTTCCCCCCTCGCCTGACCTGCGCCTGACTCATCCAGAAGAACGAAGAAGAATCTTCTCCTCTATCCCTCTCTGTCTCTTCACTCCTCTCTTCTCCTCATCTCTTCTACCCGGTATATCTCGGATGGGCAAAAGAGGGAAGGACAAAAAGAGCCGTGCCAGAAGGAGAACGACGGAGAGAGAGAGAGAGAGAGAGAGAGAGAGAGAGAGAGAGAGAGAGAGGGGCACGAAATGCTTCTCTTTCTTCACTCTACGTGTACCGTTTCTTCTCCCACCCTCCCTCGCCCTCCCTTTTGCTTTGTCTCTTCACCCTCTGACTTCCCCCAATACCACCCATAGCTAACCTAACCACCCTAACCTTCTCTCCTTTCTTCCCTTCTTGCATTTCGACCTGCCTTCGCCCGCGCGCGCCTCTTTTTCTCTTCCTCTCTTCCTCGTTTTACCTTCCCTCTCTTCTTTCCTCCATCCTTTCCTCATTCCCCTCTCGATTTTGCTGTATTACTCCATCTTTGCCTGTATTCCTTCGTCGACGTCTCTGTCTCTCGCCTCTCACCTTCGCCCTCCTCGGCTTTCCCTTCTACTCGCTATATCGCCGTCATCCCTCGCTCTTTCGCTCACACCGACAACCCTCCTTCCTGTCTTTCTTTCGTGTTCATGTCTCTTTCTCATTCCTTCCACGTTTTACGCATCTCGTTTCTTCTTCAAAGAGAACGTAGAACAAATGGCTCGATATAGGAGAACGGCAACATGGAGAGAAAGAGAATGAGAACAAGAGAACGCTGCACTACGGTCGATTTCTCCTGTCCTCAGCACTCGCTGCTACGTAAAAAGCTGTCTTGGATCAATTAAAGCATCGTTTTTAAAGCTTTCTTTAGCGACGAGAACGCTTTTGAATAACAAAGCTGAATGAACAGAGCTCTCTCTCCTTTGATTAAATACGTAAATCAAATATATAAATTAAATATATAATCAAATACATGGTCTTCTTATCTTCATACAATTTCTTTCTATCAATTATTAAGTTAAATTACGCTTGAATATTATATTTTTCATAAAAGAAATTTTATTTTAGATTCTAAATAAATTTTTTAATTTAAAAACTGTTTTTTTTTTTTTTTAATATATCTTCAGCTTTCTTTGTACAAGGAAATGAAAACGAAATATAGAGATGATTAAATCTGTCCTGTTACATTCGGTTTTAGCTAATATAAATAAGTTAGTTTAAAAAAAACTAATTTAGTACAAGTCATTTTTCTGTTTGTAGAAATCGTAGTTTTTCTGTTAACGCGTTTCTTTTTTTTTTTTACACAAATCAATCTAGCTTAAAGAAAAATATCCTTCACGTGTGATGGAGAGGAAGAAACGAACGAATGGGACACGAGGCATTGTAAAGTATCGTCGGTAAAAGGAGAAAGGAGTTTCCTACATCACTGCGTAAAAAGGAGCGGTGCCGATCGGCCGTCTTATACGTGTAATTGCCAAGGATGCTAGATGTGCTAGAGCCATGAGCTATTGCGCGTTACCATCTCGAAACGATTTCTTCTCACCGCATAAAATTGATAGAAAGGCATCCACATTTGATTAATTAATCCGTAACATGCTAATTCTTTAGTACTAGATTTCTAAAACTTTTATTCTTACAGTTATAGCAATTTACATATATAATATAATTTACAAGCCTATAATTCCACATCAAAATATTACAAAAGCACATTAAATATATTTTTCATCACATGTTGGTATATACATATAAACTTTTTAAAGATCTGAAAATTCTCTCGTGTAACGTTAATTTATTTTTCCTATTTTTCTCATTTTCTAAAAATTCTCTCTTAACATTTATCTACTCATTTCTATTTTTTTCTCTTTTTTCCCATATTTAGATTTGATATACTTTAAACTCTTTGACGTAATGTCGTAATCCAAATAGCATCTTACAATTAGCCTTCAGCCTTACTCGTCATTTTTTTCAGAGCGCAATCAAGTCATATGTACGTACACAAGAAAAACGATTATCGTTGATTACTGGATCGTAAAACGGCTGGCATAATTTTATTGGAGCGAAATATTTAACTTTATAGCCCACGGCACTTTCCATCAAGTTATAAACGATCTCGCATCTCGCATGCTATTCTTAAGATTACGACGTAAATGTCATATACTCTCGGAGCTTGACTCGTTCATTCTTCTTTGGCGATACGCTAATAAACTCCAGTTGTTAGAAGGAAAGAGAGAGGGATTGGGTGGAGTACTCAATGAAGTGCACACTTGCAACACGCCGCCTTCGCATTGACGCTTTAAGAACTTAGCACACAGTCGGAAAAGTTATAATTACTGCTTATCTGCCTAGAAAGTATATTACAAAATCGGAATATATCAATTTCCATTCTTTGCCTCGAGAAACAATCATATTAACATCTTATATTTGTCACACACTTTACTATTAATATTATTTAGGCACACAGGAAAAAAAAATTTGCTAAATCTCAATATATATTTCTTTCAACTGTATTAAATAAACATTTATTTACTGTAAACAAATATTTACTCAATGAAAAAATGATAGTTAAATCAAATTAATAGTTTTTGTATGTTTACATTTAATTAATATTTACTTTCAACTATTCAAACAAATATTTATTAAAATTTAGTATTTTTTCGGTGCATGGTTAGTGTATCAAAGTTTTCATGAATTTAGTGTTCACACGATGCTGTTTATTTTATATACTAAACTAAATATAAACTCTGCTCTCCTGCGATAGAAAATTCTCTCTGGTAATGTCAGGGTTAAGTATGATACACGTACGAAACACGTCGTCCAACACGGAGAAAAATGCGCGTGTGTCTTCTCTTTCAGTTGGCTCGTCGTTAATCGCCCCCAGAAATTGCCCGCGCGGTCCACTCTGCCTGAGTCACCCGTTTTCCATCCTCTTCTCTTTCCCGTGACAGCCTCACTCTTCATCTCTTCTTTTTCCTTCTCTCTCTCTCTCTCTCTCTCTCCCCGCCTCTCTTCGTCCATCTTTCTCTATCGCTAAAGTAGCTCCTATCTTCTTTTCGACCTTCCTCTCGCTTTCTCTCTCAGTCTCTCCGTCGCTTTCATCCTCTCTCAACGCTATTTCCTTCCATTCTCTCCCCTCGCCACCATTCGGTGCCGCCCTTATCTCCGGAGTTTCTCATTGTCTGAAAGGGCCATCTGTCCCCCTCCCCCTCCTGATTCTTTCTCGCCCTCCGCTTTCATCCCCTTCGCTCCTTCTCGTTCGAACGCTGTGCACACAAAGGAGCTGACTCTTCTCTTCGCCGTTTGCCACCCTCTTCTCTCTACCCTTTCTCCGGCTGCTTTCTTTGTTCCTTCCGTCGTTCGAACGTTGCTTTGGGATTGCCAACATCGTCCTCGTCCTCATCCTCGTGTTCTTTGTCGTCGTCTTTTGCCGCTTTTTTCTCCGCATTCGAAAAGTTTCCTTCACATTTCCTTCTATCGGAGGAGATCCACAAAGAAGCTGCACTAGTAATTCCTAGAGGCGAAATAGCGCGTTCGATTTCTCCAAGCGAGAGGAGAGCAGGATGAGAACGTTCGACGCCGTAAATTGCGGTGTGCAGAGAAAAAGCGGGAAACGCGAGATAGTGTGAAAGAGGACGCGGGTGGGGGAGAGATTCTTTCTCGTGCGGTCGCAGCTTCTGCGCTTGTTCGACGAATGAGAGAGAAAAAAAAAAAAAATGTCAGACCGTTCCGTGCCGAGTCGAATCGAGTCGAGTCGAGACGAGATATCGCTCGCAGCGGTCCACGTGCGACCTTGAGCGAGATCGCATTCACCCTCCGCACTTCGAGGGGTCGCAATTCCCGAGCGGGGAAGCTCGTGATCACGTGGTGCTCGGGGGTGGTTTTCACAGTCCACGTTTATCCCGCTCTACCGACCGGACGAAAAGAGTGCGGAGCTCGTCGACGAACAAGAAAATGAAGGTCGCGCATATTATCGAGATTTGTCGGGCGATAATGAAGTAAGTTCATTGAATCCATGTAAATCCATAAATTTTATATAAATGATATGTACGGATTTGTATAAAATTAATAATTTACATTTTTTTTTTCTTATTTTATATTTTTTTTCTTCTACAATGAAGAGAGACTTAATTGAGAATTAATTCCGATCAGTTGATTTTTTTGTAACAAGTACCTAGTCCGATTTATTGTATTTAATTATTAAATATATTAAAATTGTTGTAAGTGAAAGTAAATTAATTAAGTATTTAAGATACTTCTCATCATACATTATATCATATAACATGTTGTAAAGATCGATACGAAGATGTGAAGAGAATTATTATGTAATGATGTGAAGAGAATTATTATCTGGTCTCTTACGGTATTCTATCCGTTCTTTGATTGACCGCGTTTGACTCGCAAGTGACGATATTCAGGACGAGGTCTCGCTCGAGAGAAGAGCTACAACTTTAATTTGCGACTGTTAGCTTCGAGAAAAATCATTCTATTCGAAATACAGCATTGAGAAGCTCTATCAAAACGAGAGGTGTAAGTGGCTACATATAACAAGATATAAACTATATTGCGGAAAAAGGAGAAAAGAGGTCACGTTGCTGCTCGCGACACATATCGATTTAAAAATAAAAACATTCAATTTAATAAAAATTTTAAATGTGAAAAGACATAATGGAAATTATATTAAATACATAAATTCTTTATGTGAAGTGAACGCATAATTTATAGCGGCAGCAATCAGGAAAGAATTTTAATTAATTTGAAGGTATTAAGTCACAGGTATAAAACAATATTAAGATTTTTTTCATCTTTAAAAAGAAGCTTTAAAAAATATATGGACTAAATACATGCGGGAGAAGGAAAGGAATAAAGTTATATATAAAATATAGATTGTGCTTCTTTCGGTTATAATTAAAAACTGTTCGATAGTTCTTGCCCGATGGTATCGTTACTTCCAAGATTAATTGCGCATCGCACGGTATAGAACAAATATCTAGTTTTCCTTTCTCCTTTCTTGCTTCTCTCCACGTGTCACGGATCTCTCTCGCCGTTCTCCTCGCCCGGTGAAATGACGGTTCCGGGTGCGTCCGTTCCCTCCATCTCGCGAAGAACGTCCCCGTCGCGTCGTTCCTTTCGCCTCTCCTTTCCTTCCCTTCGAAAACGCACGCGCGCGCAGAAACGGCAGTGGCCAAAGAAGAACGAAGCCATATTCACAGCCTGTTCGAGAAAATCTATAAAACGGTAATAAGAGATGATATTTTCCATTCTTTCGCGATGCATTTTTTTCAAAGTCTCTGAATTTCGGGACCAAAAATTCATAATGTTTCGTTCTAAATTTTCAACGTCTGAATTTATCAACGATAAATTCAGTAACGTGTTATAAAAAATATCGAAATTTTTAATTAATACGCGAAATTATTAATAAGAGTTAAAATTCCATTTAAATTTTCATAAATAATGTTTCTGGCTTTTTTAGCTGCTTTAACGTCGACAGGGGATGTATGTCATTTTTTATATCAAGTGCAGTCGAGTCTCAGTTATTTGATTTTGTCAAAGCAAGGAGTCTCTCGAGATAATGGGAAGTAGTACTGTCTTGCTATCATTTGATTTTCTAGAAATATTCTGTAACGAGGACTTGAACCAGTAAGGGCGAAGGGGAAACAGGTGAGCGGCCGAGAAAGCAGACGCTCGGAAAGGTGAACGGAAAGAAACGAAGAAACGAAGGGCATTCGGAATGCGGTACTGTTATGCCTTACGGTATACAGACAAGACGGAAATTAGGACCAAACGACATACAGTCTCGTTGTCCATCGTTTGATATGATCATAGAAAATAGCATAATCTTTTTCCAAACTTTTATTTCGTTCTCGTTTTATCCTCTGAAATTCGTTGAGAATTTATTTAAAATTTCACATTTCAAATTTAGAGTCAAGCAAAGTGGCAGGCGTTGGAAGTCGAGAACTGAAAATTCAACAGCTCCGAATTGAAGATGGAAAGTTAAAAGCTGATTAGAAACTGGATTCACAGTTGATGGTTAGAAGAATTAGGGTCGAAGGTTAAAGATTTGAAACGTATAGTTTAGAGTTTAGAGTTAAATATTAAAAGAATTTAACGACTCGGGGAAATTGAGAATTCAGAGTTAAGAGTAAAAAAAGAAAGAAATAATTGAAAATTTGTATTCGTACAAACTTACATGTATCAAATAAAATCATCAATGATCATGCTTTATCCAACTCCTATCATCGACATTCTCGGTGACGTTCGAGAGATGAAATGTTAACCGAAAAACGAATCGGTCGTTCCATGAAAAAGGAAAACGGTCGCACACAATACATTGCAATCGTGTATAAAGGAACGTGGGAAGATCATTAATGCAAACCTAGCAACGTGTATGGGAACGCTTTTTATGTCGACCGAAAGACATATCGCGCTGCCATAACCGATTCCTACCATTCCTGTCCCCGATGCGAGTTTCTTTAGGAGAGAAGCGCGTTTTCTACGAAAACACAAATGTCTCGAATTAAAATCTAATTTCTCTATTATTTCAATAATTTTTAAACAAAATCCTCCTTTTTAATAGTAACACTTGGATACGCTTGATATCCTCGAAGAAAATTTTTTTCTTAAAAATTAATGTGTGGTGACGATAGAAATAATTCCTTTTTAAGCTAATATAATTTGAGGATATAAATATAATATTTTTTGGTCTGAAAAAAAATTCGACTAATATTTGTTAAAACAACGTTGTAAATTTTCGGTACAACATTTTGTGTAAAATTTTGTTAAACACAGCAATTGAGTTTCTTTATAACAATTGAGTTTCTTTCGCATAAATGTTTGTGGAGATGGAAATTTAGATTTACCAACAATTTCCGTTTTCTTTCGAAGCAAATTGGATTTTAGTGATACTCTAGCTAGAATAACAGTCAGTCGGCAAAGACATTTACTTGAATGAGTCTCAATCGTGCCAAATTTTAACTCAGGTTTTCAAGAAAGATACAACCCGAATTTCGCTCACCAAGATCCGCAATGCAGATATTTTTTTTTTTTTCGTGTTTGTGACATTAGTATGTGTTTGCATCGAGTGTTGTATCGCGAAAAATATTGGAGAAAAAAGAATTGAAAGGTATTGAAATATCTCAAAGAACAAGTTCATCTTATGCTACGGACGTAAATTGGAACCCCCGTTGCGTTCCTCTCTCTTTCTTATTTAATGCAATTCTTCTTCTGTGCCTGCTTCTATCTTTAGTATTTTCTCCCTTTTTTCGTTTTTACTTCTCTCTGACAGAGGTAGACTTTGCGTTTCTCGCTTTTCCATCAGAGAATCGATCGGAAACTGAGAACCAGAAAATAATTGCGCTCGTGCAAAATAAATTCTTGCTTGCCATTTTATCGATCGAAGCTTTTATCAAACTCGCAGGAAAACGTTTCTAAATGTGAAAATATAAATATTTAATTGAATTTTTTCTTTCTTTCTCTCTTTTCCTCTCAAAATAATTTTGCATAAAAAATTACACGCTAATAAGAGCTAAATAAAGATTGAAAACAAAACAAATATATGAATACAAAATTTCATACTTTATGTAACAAAGATAATAAACCTGCTATTGTTTAGAGCGTGCCATAAGAATTTCGTCGGTACAATAATTTATCTTGCAAAGTAGGACATTTTTGCAACGAGGAATCTTAGTTAATCTCGTATGTTTGAAAGAAAGAAGCAGCATTCTACTTTGTTTTCTCGGATGAAAATATTTAATAGGAAATCGTAAAGGCTCAAAAGAAATATTCACGACGGAGGCAGATAAGACTATGCTGTATGCGAGCATATATTTTTTGCAATGTCAATTTCGGCGACATATTTTATGCCGCTGAGATCTCATAGAAAGACACGTAACGAAAGCTGCGCGTTTCTAATCTCAAATATGTCCTCTTGTTCTCGAAAAGCGAACTATTTACTTTGGAAAAAAAAGTCGACTGGCCCTATGGGCGCAACCATTTTCTCTTTTCTCTATTTCTTTTCTCTCTTTTTTTTTTCTTTTTTTTAGGAATTTTTACCAGACTATCTTAGAAGTAAAGATGCCTAAGTCGAATTCTATTTACATTCAACTCGGGAGATGATCCTACGAAAGTACTCTCGGGCGACAGTCTAGCCCTCGCGGCCGAATCAAATTGACATTTATACATCGCCGAGAAATTCCAGATTATCATAACAGCGAGGTCCGAGGCATGGGAGAGTACAGTATAATACTCTATGCAGAATTCGCTGGTCGTCATGCAGATTTTATTAGTTCTCTTTATCATCCGCATCTCGACGAAGCTAGGAAGGAAAATCTAGGGAGAGGAGAGGGACAAAGAGAGAACTGCGAAAGAAGACAACGGAGGAAAGTCTCTTGGAAGATTCCAGTCTCCCTCCCCCCCCCTCCCGGCTTGGAAACGTGAAATAGCACCGAGATGGAGAAAACGGTGAGGCAAAGGGGAAAGAGGGGAGCGGTCGTTTCCGCTTGCGTTTTCCCGGAGAAAGAGCCGGTTGGTCGGTCGTCTCGAGAACGGTGGCCGCGAAAGGGAAAAATCCGGGAAGAAGCGAGGAGGCGACGCGTCGATAACGTTGGAAAAACGTAAAAGGCGCTCTACGGAGAAAGAACCGGCGGATCGAGGCGAGACGAGGAGAAGGAGGAGAGGAAAAAAGGCAGCTGGGTTAGTTGGGGAGGGAACGGAACGGAAAGATAGATAGATGGATATAGCGGGGAGAAGAAAAAGCCAGAGGAGAAGAGAGAGACGGCGGGAGGGATAGAACCAAGACAGAGATATAGGAAAGAACGAGGGAAAAGGGGAGGTCCTCTCCCTATCGTTAGGGTGAGAAGAAAGGAGAGAGAAAGAGAGAGAGAGAGAGAGAGAGAGAGGGAGGGGGGTAGGAATTGAGAGGGGAGAGCAGAGAGAAGAATGAGGGTGGTAGAGAAGCAAACGGGCAGGAGGAGAAGGAGAGGGAAGGGGGAAGAGTAAA